GTCGAATCTGCTAAAACTTTTACCGCCATCAGGTGTCATCAAGCTGTGAGTGGAGCAAGATGGCCCTTACTCTACTACTGCTCACTGTAAGTCCAACACTCTTAAATAGAATTATCGTTAGCGACCATACAATTTGTTGTGTAACATATCGTTGCCAACAATACGGCAGGTGTTCGTTGTATTCAAGTTGATCTCATCCCGTTAATGGCTCAAGGTATTCAGATGAGATCGCTGTCTGACGCAAGTCCTCAAGAGTAATTTGTTTCCGCTAGTCGAATCTACTACTACTTTTACCGACATCAGGTTTCATCAAACTGCTGATTGGAGCAAGATGGCCGTTCCTCTGCTCCTGCTGATTGCTGTAAGTCCAACACTGTTAGATGCTACTTCTCAGCATAGCGTGTCGATCTTGGGTAAGATGCTGCAACGACATCTTCTAAAAACATAAATTCACGAGGGCGCGACGGTTAAAGTAAAGGGTTTTAAAGTAGGCGATTTTCTTTGTAGGCAGCTCTGAGCGTATTTGGGTTTGGATAAATTCATCGCAAGTAGCGGTATCAACTCTTGGGAAGAGAAGAAATTATAATAATAACGATAAAAAAAAAATGATTAAATCATTACGCATATTCACATTGGACAAGACCACCAGCTTTTCTGTCCCTCCTTAATTTCATGCTTCGCTATACACTAAAGCTCTCTCTCTCTGCTGTGATTTTTGGTAGAAGTTAGAGCTTCATTCAGATTAGAATTAAAAGAGGTCATATTTCTCAATGTGTAATCAGCACTGAGGAGCAAATACAGCAAAAGTCCCCCTGCGATTTTGTTTGAAGGGGCTTTGTAGGATCTGGTGTAATCTGATTAATGATGGTAAACTTTGGCGGTGGGTGATCTATTTAATTACGCTCGTGTTTCTTAATAGTACCATGGAAATAACAAGTAACTTTCGCACATGGATTATTTCAAAGAGAAGTATTACGATATCACAGATGTAGATCAGTATCGTTTTACGCATGGCCGATGAACTTTCAAAACAGTAACCTATTTCTTTTTGTTTGGTACGCTATTTTTACTTCGAACACAGGCTTGTTTGAAGGGGCTCGTGAAAACTGAATGCGACCTGATTAAGATGGTACGCTTTAGCAGTGGGTGATCTATTGAATTATGCCCGTGTTTTTTTTTTGATTAGTTCCAAGGAAATAACAAGCAACCCTCACACATGAATTATTTCAAAGAGAATCGCATAGCTTAAGGTAAACACGCGCTCTGATTGGTCAATACGTCAACCGGAAGAGAGGGTATTTAGGTTGGAATCGCACTAATGCATAAACCGATATCGCTGACGTGAGTCGCGAGCAAAAATTATTGTTACGAACGTAAAAAACTTAAATGCAACCAGTGCCGGCTATGAAAATATGAACAAATATGAACAAATTTATAGAAAACGAATGCCGTCCAAATATTGAATTGAAATTCAAGTTTTTAGATAATTGGAGGAAACCACTCAGCCTCAAAAGTACCAGTAAACGCATAGAAAAAAAATGAAAATGCCAGAGACGAGGGAAGAAAGCCAAACGACAGTTCTTGCCATGGAAAACCAAACAAGCGTTACGAAAGAAAGCCAAAACAGGTATCAATGCCGAAAAAGGTCAAGCATCTTTTTCGGAAATTTAATCCATTCTAGCTTTTACAGATGACGAGCTGACCTCTTTTAGAGGCAACATGGTTTGAAAAAACACTAGACGGCAAATTGAAAACTTTGAGTGGTCGCAAAACAGTCATCCAAGCGCTTCGTGATGATTTGGACCCACTGGAGATATCAGAGCTCACTGGCCACTCCAATCCGGAATCCATATCCAGGTACAGCCATAATCCTCACTAGTGACCTTGACAGCAATGCCAGTCGTTCTAGTTACCTGATGGCAGGAGCAGTCGGCGGGGTGTTTACTAAAGTAACTTTTAATGATTATTCAGTAAAAGTATTTCCATACACTTTCATTCCAGCATTGACACCAACGAGCGACTGCCTGCAATGAAAGAAAAACAGTTAAATTGTGACTTTTAACCTTTTTTTGCACTGTTTTTCGTCAGAGTTTACCGAGAAATTCCAGTCTTAATCATTATATTTTGAATACACTTTTTTTTATAACTGTGAAGCACTTGGCGGTTTTTTGTAGATCTTGCCTGATACCGGAACGCTTAAAATTTTTATTTCGCTTGAGGATTTGACCATTGAGTTGTTGATTGTCGGCGCCACATTTTGCCAAGTTGAGTGGTAGCAGGCAAATCTCCGTCCTAAATAACTCCGTATTTTGTACTTTCAGTTTTTTTGCTGAAGATTGTGAAATGTGAGGCACTGCTTTCTCCACGAGTTTGAAATAAAAGTGGTTTTCATTCTAAAAATATCTTGTTCCCTCTATTCGCTAGATATTGACACCTGACTTTGAAAGGGTTTCCATTGTATGCGCACTGGCTTGGCGCACAAAAATACTAAACATCTGGTTTCGCCCAGTGATTTGGTGGCTTTAGCTATGCGATTCAAGAAAAATTCACGAGGTACAAATAAAACTGCCGACGGTTCAAAGGTGAGCGACTTACCTTGCTTTCCATTCCCTCAGCAATAACAGTTCTGACAGTTGACTTTAAAATGGCTTTCTTAAGGGCGCGCGTAGGGGATAAAAACAAACAATGTTGCTGTTTTAATTTCTTGTTTTCTTATTTTTATTCAGTAATGCGATTCAAGAAAAATTCACTGCCCGAATTTTTCTATATAAGCGGTACAATATCACAGATGCGTACCAATACCGTTTTACGTCTGGCCGATAAGCTTTCAAAACAGTTACCTACTTCTTCTTGTTTGTTACCGTATTTTTACTTCGAACACAGGTTTTTTTCACTGATATCTAAGAAAATTAAGATCTTAAGTTACCTACCAATCACTCTCTGGAGTTTTTACTTCTGTTAAAAGTTTTAATATATGCATTTCTCATTTATTGACTCTCTTATTCTCTTGGTTAAATTATCCCTGGCTAAAAGAAATTGAAACTTGAATTGCAAGCTTAACTTAGAACTTTTAACGCGCAAAACAACTCTCAATTCTCTTTCCGATAGAGTATTCAGCATTTTAACTGCTCGGGTAAATTTGCCCTCTAGCTGCAGAGAATTTCCTTTCCACAAGCGTATAATTCAAAGCAGAATCATTAATAGAGATGTGACAGAAGGGACAGCTTGTAGATTTTGAAAATTTGCAAAGACAGTATGTTATTATTGTCTCGCCCTTTGAAACTTCTCGGCATTTTCTTCATAAGTTATACATGCCAGACGACTATGTATAAAGGTAATATCTTAATTCAAATTACATTGTTTGTGTCACTAATCTTTTTTTCCAGGAACTAGAGCCCCATTGTTTTTTCCATGACCTTGAGTTTTTTTGTATGTTTCGTTTATTTGTTTTGTTTGTTGTTAAGCAACCACGACGGCGACGGCAACGAGGACGTGGAGAAACAAGAGATCTAATCGGCAGAACCATAGCTCAGCACGTGCATTTTGAAACTTTGTACATTTCTTAGTCGTCCTATGCAAAACAACAACGAGAAATCGTTAAAATTTGCGTCGTCTGCGAGCCGAAACCGCGACGGCAAATATTTTAATTTCCATTTAGAACTCAACGCTACTTTTATACGTCATACTGAATTTGGCGACAGTAAGCTCATGCAGCTATTTTTGAAATTATAACTAAGAGTAGAAATTCATTTTTTAATCGAAGTCTTCCTTGGCGTTGCCGTCCTAACTGCTTAAGGTCCCTAACCACGGTGGGTGTCAGTTAGCGTGCATATCTGAGGGCTGATGTTGTCTTTCCTTCATAGAACGGAGATCGAAGTTTCTTCAAGATTGAGAAGATGAACCAATTGTGTCATTTACTCTGGCTGGTATCACTAATATTCTTAAATGTCTCTGCTGATAAACAGTGCAAGCCAGCCGACGCATCGATTCCGGGGAAAGCCCTCATCGGTTATACATTTAAATCTTTGGTCGTGCGGGCTCCGTTTGATTGCCAAATGCTTTGCGAGAACACTTTCACTTGTCAGAGCTACAACTTTTTCGTACCGAGAAAACTTTGTGAATTGAACAACAGAACCAAGGAAGCAAGACCGCGAGATTTTGTCACAGATGATAATCGATTTTACGTGAGGAGCTGGCCTAACAGAGGTAAAGTGTAGAAAGATGTGGAGTGTGGTTGTTGTTTAGTGTCGCTTTTATTTTTTTCTTCAGAAAATTCAATTCATTGAACGTCCCAGGAAACAATTAGAAAGAGAATAGGAAAAGGCTAAATTGAAATTCAAATCAAAATTTGAAATGATGGCTGTACAGGCAATTTTCACCGAAATACTTCTGATAGAATCGTCTTGAGATAATGAGATGTTTATTTTGAATTAGTATATACTAAAACAGTGGATAGTGTTGAAGGCGCGCTCTAATTGGCAAGTCAAACTCCGACTATCCTTTGCTATTTACCTCCGAAGAACTCGGGAAAAAATGGCGTCCCGGTTTGCATCCGTGACAAGCGAAGAAATCACTCAAATTAACGACAAAGCAGTGTATATTATCTCACTGTTTTAGTGTATACTAAAAGGACTATTCACCTCAGTGTCGGTGGTTAGCGGTGGATATTTACCTCGCCGCTTCGCGGCTCGGTAAATATCCACCACTAACCACCTCCACTTTGGTGAATAGTTGTTAAATATTCATAGTTGACTATGCGCAGCATGAAATCATCATGATCTCGAAACTCGTTAAAGTTGCAGTTTTCTTGTGTGTGCATCCTTGGAAAATTTGTTTTCGTAAAGTAAGAAAGAGATATCAGAATCGCCAAATTCTCTTGTTCGCTGGAATCAGTTAATAAGTATTAGGAGTGGCGTAAATTTTGTCTATTACTGACTGTGCCCGACACAAGCTCGGGGAGTTCGTTATTTGCAAAGACTAGCTTGAATGAGTACGTCGCAATGTGTATCTACAAAGGTAAGCCCACTGTGGAAACAAAATATTGCCTTCATTCTAAAATGTAGGCCAATTCTTCATGCTAATTTTATAAGTCGTGGTTACAGTTCTTTCCCGCTTTACAGCGCTAAAAAATTCCCGTGTTGTATATACACATTGAAATGACTTCATGACTAAGCCATTAGCGATTTTGAGTCATGTCTGTAGTCTGTGTTAAATTGACAGAGATGAAAAGGTAGGAGTCGAGCCAGAAATAGTCTCATTGCTTCAGTTTAAAGCTCAGTAATAACGAATAGTGGCAATATTAATTTCGCCTTCATAATCCGCACTGCTTCAATTTACAATAGAGTACTTTTGGACAGCTATAAATGCGGCCAGCTCTCTGCCACTGTTGGCTTTAAGGTTTGAGTTTTCTTCCAGGTTTGTTAAATTTTTATATATATCATTGTCATTATCTTTATTTTAATCATTTTGTCAGGTCTATTGTGATTTTACAGGTGGCAGGCATGGGTGGAGCTTTGTTGCTCGGTTGTCAAACTGTGATACCAAGCATTGGATGAATGAGTCTGGTCAGTGGTGGTTTGATAAAAATGAAGCTTTCGGAAAAACCACTGATCCGTCTGACAACACTGACATGATATCACCATTGTTTTGGCTGCTAAACGGAAGTGACTTCAAGATCACCCGCAGCGACGACTCTATGCATGCTCCACTATTACAGACGATAGATAACTGTCTAGGAAGTCAGACACTCCGTTCGAAAGTCACAAACTACGGTGACTTCAGAAATGGTAAAGTTTGGCCCGAGGGCAAGTGCTTGGGAAAGTGCAAAGTGCAATATGGTGGACAGTACCAAATGACTGAGGGCTTTGGGAAGGCTACATGCAGCGGCGAAATGCAAGCTGCTGACGAGGTCGGCTTTTGGTGTGAGTGGGGTTGGAGTGGCGCCGTGATCATGATCGGAGGGGCCAGAGGTGCTTGTGGCAGAACTGACCACGGGATAGGAGTTACAACAGCAAAGAAAGCTTCATTTAAAAAAGAGGATGGACGACCGGAATACGATTTTGGAAATAGTGGATGGGGCTCACACACAAGGAGTTACTCATTAAACTTGTGGATAAAATAAAAATAGATAATGCAGTGGTGTGGTTTATCTTTTTACGTCCTTTTTNATGCCGTATCTTAGCATTTCCATCCACTCTGTTCTTTGTGGGAGAACGTCTTGTTAATCACACCATAGCAAACATCAGTGTGATTGAGAAGGACACGTGTGAATATCGTTGTTGCCTCAACCAATACTGTGCTAGCGTCAACTTTTATTTTGGACAAACTGAAGCAAGACCACACAACTGTGAACCCAATAACTCAACGGGTAAAGAATACGACAATGATCTGGTGTTAACAATGAATTCTGTATACCATGGAACGAAGGTACGAGATGCCATATATCAATCCCTCTATTCTCGCTTTTTCGGCGATTGATGAAAATGGGGGGTGGATATTCTTTTTATCCATATTTGAAAAAAAATATATACACACTATGGCCCCAAAGCCATTAATAAAGGCAAAAAATTTGTCTCGGTCGTTGTTCAGCTTGATTAAAACTGATCGCTGTTTTTCTCCTAATTAAGAAAGCATAAATACCAATACTATTTTTGCTGGGGTCAAAATGTATGAGTTAGTCGTCTTAGAGCATTTTTGTATAAAGTAGTTTTAATCTAACCGTTTAAAACGTGTTATAGAATTACCCACTTTACTTATACTTAAACTTTGATATACTAGGTTGGAGAGCTGATTCAATTAGATCCCTCTCAAAGCGTAACGGTATTCATTGAGCGCTGACTAAGGTCAATTTGTACTATTCTTGGGAAAGATACTTTACTCTTTGATAGCCTATCTACAAACGCCCTTTTCCAAATTTAGCTCTGCAAGCAAAGTGAGTAGTCTTTCACGCAACTGGTTTTTTTAATGAAGTTTTGCGTTCAAGCTCCATGCAAGAACAACTCAACATGCCAGTCGGGATTTACAAGGAAAAATGGTAAAACGGTACAATGAAAACGGTAAAACGAAAACCGTAAACTTTTAAAGCGAATATAGATATATTTTTTGATACATTATGCTCCTCTAATTTCTTTTTATTTCGTCATTTACTCGATCTTTCTTTAGATGGTTGTCTAATTAGAGTTTTTATTCCTACTTCTTACATTCTGCTAGTTTGATTTCTGTTGTATGATCAGATTCCTTTTTGTTTATCCAGAGGATCATATTTAAGCGTACAAAGTCCACTTCCAGCCAATGTGAAGCTCTTGATTTTACTTAATTGATGCCATTTATTTGCCCTGATTTTAAGCGAAGTCCAGGGCACATAACGACGGTGTCTATTCTTTTAATAAAGTATATTCTCTCATTATCAGATATTGACGAATGCACTCAAGGATCCCATGACTGTCTTCCTGACCTTGCGTATTGTATCAACACAGAAGGGTCATACAGCTGTAATTGTAATGTTGGATACATAGGAGATGGGAAAATAAGCTGCCAGCAACCGAAAGGTACAGTGTAAATAAAGTGCAGTGCATTCTTTGCTAATCTGAGTTTTCACTAAAGCTTTATTCTTCAAAGGTGTTTGCCGAATTTATCGATGACATAATTTAACATTTTCCTGGTAGAGGATCAGAGAGACCTCCAGGGTTGTACCTTTAGCGGAAGTCATTCCAACAGATCTGTTTGATAGTCGGAAAAGCTCAGGATGAAAGACTAAGGAAGTGATCTTAAGCGACGGATTTTGAGTTCTAGATTAGAAGAGGACTTCGAAAAGACCCTTTAAGAGTTATCTTTGAGTCTGCTACCGCCTCTCAAAAAATCGACCACTTCTCCCCAATACTGACCATTTTTCGTTCTTATCATACTCATTACGTGTATATATGGGATTTCTCGTGAACCATCAGTCATCATAAACAACCTCTTTTGGTATCTTTGTTTAAGAAATTGAAATGACTCATAGTGTTTAAGTGGAAACATAGCTGGTTCCCTGTTTCTGATCGCTATAGTGCCGAAATACCTCGTGTCGTTTTACTTAGATACGAGCAAAAAAAGTAAAATAAGCATCAGACCGGCGGACACGGTGAATGTATCGTTTTAATCGCATCTATTATTTTAATAAAATCGCCCTAAATAATTAGATATACGAATGATAACCCTTCAAAATATCTTTTTAAGAATGTGAAGATTACCAAGTAGTGAGCACAAGTGACAGACGGACCAATAACACTAAGAAATGTTTCTCGTGTGATAACTTCCTCTCTGGTTGGTATCGTTTCAAGGATGCTGCTGGTGCGCGCATGCCTACCGCCTGCCCACCTACTTACAGGTGTGGTACCCACTCAACTTGTTGGCTAAACGGAGTCCATCCTACTACAGCGGACGGAAAAGTTACAAGAGAGGTCTGCTTTTATTGGAATTTAAATTGTTGTCACCGGAGCATCAATATGGAAGTGAGGAACTGTGGCTCTTATTTTGTTTATAATCTTTCCCCGGTACCAGTTTGCAATCTGCGATATTGCACCACTGATTAGCTGATGGAGCACAGTTGCGGGCAGTACCTGGTACTCGCAGCAATGATAACAACAGAAGTAACAATAAATGAACTCGAATTAACAATTGGTTCATGCTTTAGCGTGCTATATCGAGTTATGGAGCACGCGGAAAGTTTGGAGAGCACGAAAGAGGCGTAAGAGTTGCCCGAGGCGATAGCCGAGGGCAACTCTAGCTTCTTGAGTGCTCTCCGAACTTCCTAAGTGCTCCATAACTCGATAGCGCACAGCTAGAAGCATGAAAGAATTGTTTTAGAACATAGCCGGTGGAATTTTGCATCAAATCTGACACGAAGAACGGACAACAATATCAGAATTGATTGTTCGCGGTAAGCGAAATATTAAACACAAAAGCGCGCTATATAAGGAAGTCTTCCCTGGGAAGACCTAGGCTCATTTGTCACTCACCGTTGACGTGTGCGGGTCAAATTTAAATGCTGGTAGACGAACAAAAGGAGCTAATGAGATATCTATTCTTTACTTCCACCAGCATGGTGGCATGAGGTAACGTGCAAACCACCTACTTCGATCTCAAATTTACCGCCACAAATAAAAACAGTTTCCTCAGGAGAAAGGAACTTGACAAATCTCAAAAATTCTTGTATTGCGATGAAGACATAAAACAATTTTGAGGGATGCGCCTGCTGTTCACTGCTTTGGAGTAGCTGTAGCTCAAGCTGAATTGACTCTTAGAGTTCTACATCACACGACAGTTGATTGACAAATAGTCCAGTGGGACCTAAGACCACTTTTATAGCGCGCCTTCGTGTTTAAGCAAAATAGGAAATAGTTTTTATTTCAAGTTTTCTGTTTAAGGCTCGAGCTTTATTTTATTGCAGTTTAAATACTTAATTCTTTATTTTTAAAAAAGAAATCAAGCTCAAGAATAGATCTTTTAATTAACAGTTATTTCCTGATTAAATATAAAATTCTCCTAACGACAGAGAAGAAACTCTGCGGTTTAATTGGTTAATTTACAACACGCCACATTTTCTGTTTCTCTGAGAAAACGAACACTTCGCGCAAGAGAAGAGTTAACGTAAGTCAAAATGCTTCTAAAAGTATATCGATTGCCGAGAATAGACCATTGCAAAACGGTCTAAGTAAACGCTGAGAACAGTATAACAGTAAATGTCCACAAGTGTGGCTAAAATTTGATCCAAGAGTGATGAAGAGTGATGTGGACATTTTGTTGTTAAAGAAAGATCCGAAGCCGCTTGTGGTTTTGTCACTTGCAGTGGACACAACGAGGCCGTTTTCCCACACTTCTTTCTTTATGTTTATGGCAGTGACAGTGGCAAGAGATTCGGATCTGTCAGAGGTCAAGCTTTTCGAAAGGACTTCGCTGCAGGTGCGAGGCTGAGATCTCGAGGGCTGCGTGTTGTAATGTAAAAGACTCTGTTCGCCACGGTGACCAGAGATTGCCATTATGTGATGGTTCTCTACACCAGCATTGGACCATAAGGTGATTTCGGTGGCTCTGAGGCTGTGGTTGGTGTACATTTTGGAGAGTTTTGCTTCCTCACTGATGCTTTTCATCATTCCGTCGAGTTTGTTGCCACCAATTGGTCGGGCGTCGAACCAAACTTTATCGTCATATTTCTCCTTAGAATTCTTTTTCGGATACTGAAAGAAAGCATCGCACCGAGGATTGAGTTTGGCCATGTAAAACTTCAAAGCTTTGTATCCGTCGTTCTCTTCAGGTGTTTCATACATTCTTGCCAATTTCTCGTTGCTGGATACATCAGTCACTCTTCCGGGATGGTTTTTTGTCGCTTCATCATGCGCCATTGTGACAAATCTTCTTCCCAACGCATCAACTTCAAACTTGAAGCTCGTTTTCTTCAGCTGCCTCTGACCTTCTCTTCCTCTCCGACAAAAGAATAAAATAACGTGAAACCATACATTGCGGAGGAGGGCGAGTGGATTATTCAGTGCAATGGCAGGCGAGGCTTTCAACTTAATCAAGTCTTCGCTCTCTATGGCTGGCTTGTGGGTGACATTTTCCTTGCCCTGGAGCTTCAAACGGACTATCTGAGCGTTTAACATTTCATTTGATCGTTTAAATCGAGGATCTGAACTCAGTTTGAGCCCTCTGCTTAGGGTTGGTGCATTCAGGTATCTCTCAAAAGAGTGCATGAAACCAAGGTGAGAGGTTTTGCTGTGGGATTCCCCGGACTTGTTCCTCTCTTCGGCATAGAACCTGCGCAGGTTTGTGTCCAGTTGTCCTACCGTCATGTTTTCCATTGAAGTTTGTATTTGTTTCTCGTTACACCAAGCTAAAATAAAAACAAGTTTTCTTTGAGTTTAAAAAGAAACCATTTAAAACTTATTTTCGTGAAGGAAAACCAGACAGAAAGACTGTTATTGCTACGTCTGTAATTTGATGTAATTAAATGTGTTAATCCTTTTGCAAACAATTTTTCCTTGAGTTTTATTATTCCCGAGAACAACTGTAAATATATATTTAACAATTTTAAAACGGAAAAATTTAAGCTTACCTTTGAAGGTTGAAACAGACCAATTTGTCATTTGTTTGGTTTTACCAGAGTGTCTTTCTGTCAAAATTTGTTGCAATTCACCCTCGGACAGTGAAGCGAATCGTGACGGCGCTGATGCCGAGTCTCCTTTTCCGTTGTTTTTCTTTTTTTCTGCCACATTTAAGAACTCTAACCCAAGGGAAAAGGTCGGAAAATTGTCTTCATTTTGGGACTGGTGGGACGAGTCTCAGTTTGTATACATTATTGTCGCAAGGTATATTATTTTTCCCCGCGCAAACAATGGCCGCTCGCGCGTAAAAAAAATTTTCTGGCGAAGCGATTTGCTCACGCTATGAGCGTGCACTATCAGGATTTTGAGCACGCTTACGTATAATGAATTGGATTGCGCGGCTGTGCTAGCTATGTTCTAAGCCAGAATATTCTAAAACTTAAGTGAATAGTAGAACAGCAAGATTGTTTTCTTCAGAAAGTGTAAAGTTTAAGAGCAAATGTGGCCAAAAATCGAACATTTTCAAAATATGGTGGCAACAGCCAAAAAATCGATTCASCTCATATTGTCAAGTTAGGTCGGCCTTATGGTGAAACAAAGCACTACATACTTCGTTTGGCTGAATATCGATTTATTTTGGAGAAATCGATAACAACTGAATTTCGCCAAAATGTCGCTTCTGAAGCTCAAAATTACAGACGAATCTCGGAGCGTCGCGCCACGAATTGAAAACACTTGGACCGATAAAAAGTACTAAGTCTTTAAAAACAACATCAATACATGTGTTGAGTGCAATTTGAGCAATTTTTGATCATTTACTTACACAATCTAATTGAATTTGTCCGACCCGCTTCTAACAAGATTAAAAATGGGTCAAAAGTAACCCGTTATTTAACGATGTGGTAAATAAAATAATCCACTGAAAATCTGGCTTTTGGAAGGCGAAGTGTGGTTCTTTTCGATCTCCAACGGATTTTTTGGGGTAATAATTCATTGCGATTTAATCAAATTTTAAAGTTGGACAAAATGAGCTGATTTGACGGTGCCGTTAGTTATTCGAAAATGTACACATTCACAAGCAAACTCAATTGTTTCGCATTTTACATCCGGTCTACAGCTTATTTAACATAATATCATCTTACCGTTCATATTGCTGTATCACTAAAGGTGATTGCAGTCTTGAAATTGTTGCATCGCTCCCACAATGGCGATATAACTTGGCAGGATAGTCAGCACCTCTTGATAATGATTGTTTACAAAGCGTTTCACTGGGTTTCTCCATTTCCATTTCGTTCAAAAGGAGGCTGTAATTACCTCACCTAAGAGATCCTTGTTTAAATATAGTCTTCAACCAAACCGCGAACCAAACGTTCGCTGAATTAATGTTGCTTGTTCAGAAACATGTTACACGTGTGCGGAATAACGCTAATTAATTCACAATGAGTCTACCGAGATCGACAACTCCGCAAAAATACAACTTTGGACTGCGAAGCACGTGGCTAAAGGAACTATGGCCAAGTGTTACATGTAAGAAACAGGAGCAAACAATTATTTAACTCCGATCTTTATTGAGTTAAATTTTTATTTAGTGAATTATTGTTTCGTTTGATAAAGCTCATTTTAGGACAAAAAGAACGAAAGGTAAACCTAGTTCGGTGATTAAAACCACTGCCTGCTGCAACATTATTGTATTTTACTGTTGATAAGATTTCAACTTCCCTGCACTCTTACTTAATTTTCTTCGGTTGACCGTATGTTGTTTTCAAAATGAGTTATAGTCAAACCTATTTCATGAAATTCAGAGGCGTATTTTTATCGTTAATCGCTGATACCACACTGATGATCTATAAACACTTGGGGCTTTGTGTGGAAAGGAACCGGTCGAGGTGACAATTGCCTTGAAAGGAAGTCAGGATTTTAAATGATTTATAAGTATTTTTTAAGACGCTGAAAGATTGAATCGTATTTGTTTTCTCTTCCTTACTATTTTAATCGCTATAGATTGTTTGATTAATTACAGAAATTACCTTGAAACTGGCATAAAACGAATTGCATGGAAAAGATGTGAACTCTGCAAAAGCGGTGCGTGTCGTTCTTCTCATAAGGATATCTGCTGCTCGTTCAAAACTACAGTAACAGTGCACTGTGACTTCGACAAACGATCCAGAAAACGGGAAACAGTAATTATACCTCTTCTTGCTTGTTTAAGGTGGATTGAGAACCATTCCACTTGTCTTGGTTTTCCGGGCCGGCCAAAAGACGAAGTTGACCTAATTCTTAGCCAAGCAACCGTATTCTCTCCTCCTGTTAACATACATACCATGACAATTTGTCCCTCGCCTAGTGCAAAGCTTGGTTTGGGGTTGACGATAGGCTCTAAGTTCGAGGCGCCGAGTACGTTTTGATATATCAAACCATGCTCAATAATATATCGCCATATAAAGCATTGATTGGCTTTGGACTTCGATAAGAAGTAGTCATTCACTTCTTAAATTTATCATCTTGGAAGGAAATATTAGGGAGATAGGCATAACATGGGTTTGTTTACTTTCTTTTTTCTTGTTAAATCTAGATTTCAGTCTTTTCCCATTGGGCGTGAACATTCTAGTCTGACCAGACAACAGGCTTATCTTAAATTTGTCATTGCGCATCAGCTACGCTCTATGATATTTCGCCATATAATGCATTGATGGCTTTGGACCCGACCATATTTGAGGGGGATAGATCACTGCTTACTTGGCTACATTCTTGGGAAAGAATACTAAATAACTCACTAGTTGAGTTAATTTTTCAAAGCCACTGTTTCCAAAATGCAAGTACCGTATTTGACTGATGTAGGTATACCGACTCGCACTCGAGTCTGCTGTATCAGCTGGTACAATGATTACTCGAAGCGATTCTTGAGTTCTGAGATACGTAGAAATGGTTTCATTTCCAGGCGTGAGTTTTTTTTGGACCACTGCCGGGAAAAGATGAGTGTGAATGATGTGAACGTGTGCTACCTGGGTCGTAGTCTTACTACCGGCACGAGTAACTTAACAAGGCACAGTAGCCTCTGGGGAAGAAACAGTAGAGACATAAAGCTGTTGAACGTTGGCTAGTACAAACATTTCAGCGAAAGTCGTGGTTTTCCAGGTTTGACCCTTATAAAACTTCTTTTAAGTAAACAAATATTCAAACACTACACTCATCTCCGTTGCGTATCTGCAATGATGCACGATGAGCTATGCCCTTTGTAGATCTTTCGCTCTTTTTTGTCTTAAAATAGGCTTCACCCATCCAGGTACCTTGAAACATTAAATTATGATACATTGAATCATGATTGGAGTTAGATAATTGTTTGCTCCTGTTTCGTATATGTAACGCTCAACCTTAGTTCCTGTAGCCACGTGCTTCACAATCCAATGTTTTATTTTTGTGTTTTAATTCAGTAGACCTAATTTTGAATTAATTAGCTTTATTCCGCACACGTGAAACATGTTTCTGAACTAGTTACATTCCGCTTACATTTGGTTCACGGTTCGGTTGTAGACTTCGATTTAAATAAAGATCTCTTACGTGAAGTATTTCGATGAAATGACTGCTTGAATCAGTCTGTTTTAATTCATCCAAGCAGTCTCAGCTCGCTGAAAGAAAAGTAAAATACAATCTCGAGAAAAATAATGGATAATCGAAGGAAACACGTGTTTTGTTAAAGATGCAGGTGTGCGGGTTTTAAAATAATAATAATAATAATAATAATATAGATTTTTAGAGCGCCATATCCTAAAAGCTCTATGGCGCTTTACAATTTTGAAAACAAACTGATTCTCTTTCTAGGCCGCCGCGAACACGTTTAGGGTTGGATAAATTGAACACAATAGACTTCAAGCGGTCTCAGTTTTTTGGGAAGCCTAGAAATAACAACAGTTAAAAAACATCACGGAAATTCACCATGCAAGAACACCAGAGTTTTTGTTCCCCCGTTGTTCGTTTATCCTATTCATCGAAGCTCTTTCTCTGTGGTTCTCGTAATAGGTCAGAATTCGCTCAAATTCTTAAAAACGGACGACGGTTTCTTAGTGTCAAACCAAGAACCTGTGGAGATTTTAAATTGGCTGATGAAAAGCATTCAAGGTTCCCTGTGATTTTATTTTAGGGTGTTTTGTCAAAACTGTTAGACTATGATTGAGGAAGGTGAGCTTTGGCAGTGGGTGATGTATTGAGTTAAGGCCGTAGTTGGAACAAAATTTCAACATGAAACACAAGTGTTTTAATTGAAATCAGAGCAAATTAAGTCTTTAACTAACTAAAGAATCACTTGCTGGATTTTTTCCCCATTTTATCCGAATTTTACGTGCTATGCATTACTTCATTTCCTTTTAAAAATTCGCTTTTTGTAGTTATTCCCAGAGGTTTAGTTTGGGAAATGTTAACGTGGAAGACGCTTCTTGTTTACTTTCCAGATAGAGTAGGCGGAATTTTCACCTCTTGGTCAAAGTTAAAATTTTCATAAGCAACTTTCTTTCTTTAAGAGTTTCTTCCAGGCTGCTGAAAGTTTTCTATCAGTAAAAATTCTGATTCAAAGGAGATTTATTCATACAAATGTTGACATAAGGGATAACTTGTACATCGAAAAAATTTGCAAAGAGAGTTTATTATAAATTGTACTTGCCAGGCGTTATTTTTTAGAAAATACGTCAATAAAGGGCCTTTACCAGGTGTACCATGCATGACGGTTTTTATCTTTTTCATTTTAATCATATTCAATCTATTCCGTAAGTTTGTTTTTTAACTCTATGTCCCTTGAAACCTCTCAGCTTTCTCTTTCTAAACTGTACTTGCTAGACGTTATTTGCTAGAGAAAGTATCAGTGAATTTCACTACTGCAAAAATTTGTCAACTCGCGAAGACTTTGTGAGGAAAGGCGAGAAAATCATTTGGCCCCAACGGTTGTGAAACTTCCTACGGTGTCCATATTTGCTCTCCCATATTCAGTCATGCAATCCTTAATCTTTCACTTTTTCGGTTAATTTTTCAGTGTTCATTAACCTTTCTCGATCGATTTCTCTTTTTGCATAAATCATCACGTTGTTTGCTTGTAAACCCTGTTTATTTCAGGAAAGCGA